AAGAGTCACTTCTATTCTTCTCTTATTGTTTACAAACCTCTTCACTCAAAAACTTGACTCCTAGTGATTAAAGAAAAGTTAAGCAATACCTTTGATATTAATGGCAAGAAAGTTTTCAAAGAAAAAAGAACTGACTGTAAATTACCTGAAGGCCTATTTAACTTTTGAAGCAAGAAGTATATAGAGGTTTTTGATGACAGAAGGGCTTACTTTTTCCCTTCCAGTCACTGTTGGGCCTCTTAGAGCTATCACTTTCATGGTTTTCTAGGGAATTTTGCCTACCTCAATTTGACCCCGAATTTTTGATAGCATAAATCCTCACCAAAGGTGATTGGCTGACATGAAACACATCAGTTTTTGGAATGTAAACAAGCTCCTATTGGTCACATTCACGTGTCTTGATATATCATTGGTGATGTAGGAAAGAAAGTTCTAGAAAAAGTGTCCCCTCCAATTGTATATGTTCAACCTTCAGGAAACAATTATGATACCAAAAGGCAAGCAATGGGTATGAAAAGAAGATTCAACTTCCAACTCTCATTAAGTTCCTTAGGTGGTGAAAAAACTTTCTTGCACAAAAGCTGAGGTCTCCAAGCTTCTATTCTAGTTAGGTAAACTCTTCCGTAATATGGCGCTGGCCTCAATAATGATAAGCGAATCCATATATTGGAAGAAAAATAAGTTCCTCAAACGTTCATCTTTAAGTCACTTTCAGGAATGGCTAAGTTCCTCAAATATCATGAAGCTCAGAGAATATCCCAATCAGGCAAACTCCTTTTGAGAGAAAACTGTGAAATGGAGCAAGAACCTTTTGGAGGGCTTTGATTTGCATTTCCTTTTTCCCTTCTCCTAGTGCCAACTTTAGCAATTTATCGTTTTTCGGGATAATCTATAGTGACAAACTGTTAACAATGACTCTGATAAACTTAGAGGCACTATTGCCAAACTACTAGGAGAGTGAAATATTGTCCCTTAAATCTAACTTAGAGTACCTAGTTTAGACTTAGCTTTGTTTAGTTTGAACTAGCTTAGTGAACTCCTCATATTTTTTAAGTAGTGTAGTTCTTTAACTAATAATGTACAATGACGAGTTAGTTACTTTGTAAAAGTCTATAAAATATTTAGGTATTTCTCAATATCTCAATAAAGACAAGCTATTGCAGCATAATTGTGGGTTAAAAAAAAAAAAAAAAAGATAATACTTCATTAGTTAGTTTTTTTATTTCCTAAAACCTTCTTACTTTTAGTAAAAAAAATATATACTTGAGTTTGTTTAGGTTATCAGAGATTCAAGTTTTGTTTAAATAAGTTTATAAATAAGTAAAGAAATATAATAGTAATTCTTAAAGACAAGTTTCAAGTTGTTTTAAAGAAAAAATAAAGACTTTATTAGTCAAGAAGTATAAAACTTTTTGTGAATATCTTTTTTGTGTATGGTTAGAGAATTAGCAAAAAGAGTTTTTTTGTATTTTAAGTATTTTTGTTTTTTGATATCTTAATAGTTAAAATATTCAAATTTTATCTTTTTTTTTTTACTTTTTTTTATATCAATTTTTTCAAATTGTTTAATAATTTTTATTTTTATAACTATCTAAATTTTTTGTTATTTATTATATTAAAGCTTATTATAAAAAGTTTTGATTTTTATTTTGTTCAATTTCCTTTTTTAAAATTCTATAAGTGATTTAATTATTTTTTTGAAAAAATCTTGATTATATATAGTTCAATACTATTCTGAAATTAAATCTTTATTTGTATTTAATATAAGTTAAATCAATTACCAATTTTCAATTTCTTTAGTTTTTTGATTAACAAATTGATTTATATATATTGGTTTATTATTTTTAAGTGATAGTATGGCTTTTTTACACTGTATTTCTCTAGTATAAAGTACTTCATGATTGAACTATTTTCTTTATTCTTTCTATTCAAAGATATTATACTTAATAAACTAATAAATAGTGACAACTTATCAACTGTAATATATGAACTAGAAAAGTCTTTATCTAAAGTTTATTCTGAAATAACAAATTGTTTTCAAGATTAAACTTAAAAACTTTTTACTGTATATTTACAAAAGTTGATTAGATTTGTATACGAAGTTTAATTGTAATATGTACCATGTTACTTAAATGTATTTTATTGATTAATAAACTCTCAATCTAACCTGACTACAGATCATGTGCAAAAAAAAAAATAAAAATAAAAATAAAATTCTTGCTACAGTATATATATACTGTAAAATTCGATTTTCCGACAAAAATAAGCATAACATTACATAATCCAATGATATCTCTTGCGCATTCCATATTTTAATATAATTTCAGTTGAATTAATGTGAAATTAAAAATAGTTTATTGTTGTTTTGCTTAAATAAAGTCGAATAATTTATTGTCGCCTTGAGCTTTATACATTCTGGATATAGTGTGTACTACTGTAGATTTGCGAGATATACCTAAAACATAATTCCTAATAATAAAATCAAGAATTGTTGCTTTTACATGAATATATTTTTTTTATTTTGATATTTTGAGTCAAAGATGACTTCGCATAATTTGAAATCAACTGTCGCGCCATCTTTAGTAAAACTTGCGATCATATTCCTGGTGTCTACTGGAATCGTAATATTGATACTCGATAATTATCTACCGAAATCAAGGTATCCTGAAATAAAATCGCTATTCGTACGTTCACATCATCAACGGCTTACACGTTCTTCGCATAAAGACATCTAAAATTTCCCAGAAATATAAATGACGTAAAATTGCTTCAAAAAGCTTTGGTGGGCCATGGAGGCGAAGATTTTCATATGGTTATATGTTTTATTGTCTTATTTACTTAGTAAGTTCCAATCTGACTTTATTCTTACCTGATGTATTCAATTATTAACTGGACAAACACCATCGTTCAGCTTTCAATCGTTCGCCATTCCTGGCAGTGTGATGCTGAGTGTGTTGGGCGGAGCTTTATGGGGAAGTTGGAAAGCTTTGTTTCTTGTTTGTTTAGTAAGTTGATCGATAAAATTCCTTTCGTTTCGAAGATATCGACATTCTACCTCCTCATCACCATACATCACACAGTGCTCCTCCATAGGGGCTACGAATTGTAATATCTTGTCGCGTCACCTGGGAAGGACAGTTACGAAAAAATATCTCGCTAGAAGAATGGACATCTGGAATGAGCAGGTAACCCTTGATGAGTTTCAGCGTTCTCGTTATTCTTATTTACCGTACTTTCCTGTTCTATTCTATTTGGTAAAAAGCTGAATGATCATAGAAAACACTTATTTCTATATATCATTTTTTTGAGGATAACACCGTTCTTGCCCAATTGGTTTATAAATGTCGCCTCGCCTCATTTGTGTGTTGACACCAGCGTATTCTTTTGGGCTACTTTAATTGGTATTTAAGGAAATTCCGGCACGTTTAATTGAGCTTCAATAATGAAATGGATTGTATATTCCTTGCTTCATATTTCAGGTGTGGGTCCACTTTCATTTATCCACGTGAAATCTGGAGAAACCATTCACATGTTATCCGAAGCAGACGAATTCACATTTTTCACATTTCAAAATGCTTTGGTGATTACATTAATTGCAGTCGCAGCGTTGATTCCTATTATGTTTAAAAGAGCATTTGAAAAAAAGGTTAAGAACGATGACGACTTATTAGAACCTCGCAGTTGGAACACGAAGAAGATAATTCCTATTTAAGAAAAGTATAGAAGCATACATAGTTCACTACTGAAGAATATTAATTTAATGATCAATTGATTGTTAGAAGTAACATACTTGGCACATTCTATTATGGTAAATGTGCTACAGAGTAGTGTTGACCTTCAACTATTCACTCGAATGGTACTGTAATTATTGATTCCTCAACATTAACATTCACGCTATACAAATAAAATTTTTCTACAGAAATTTTGTGCGCGAATTTTTAAAAAAAGCTCGAGTAGAATTTCCCATTTTATGAAGAATGCCTTTCGAGGACTCCCGTTAAATTGTAAAAGTGTTTGCGATCTAATTAATGTATACACAAAAAAACACGCGAATTGCGATGGTTTTGAAATTTACTCTTCAATTTAAAATTAAGCGAAAAAAGAATGAGAGAATTCCGGCAAGCCAGATTTGAACTAGCGACCTAGAGATATCAGTTTTGAACTATTAAGCCCACTACAGTCTCCCGCTCTACCAACTGAGCTATTGCCGGTTCACGTTGAAAATTCGATAAAATGATTGATAATCTTATGAATTTTCATATCTATGGCTTGGAGGCCATTTTTACTTTAAAACTTTTTTTCTATGGTGTCAGAAAAACTAAGCCCTGAAGAAAAAAAAAAAGCCAAGCACCTTACTTGAAATTTCGCAAGCAGCGAGTTTTCAATCAAGCGAGGCGCATATAATGACGATCACGTGACGTGTCGTGCGTAATCAGCGACGCGTAATACCGAGCATTCGCATTTTATACTTTACTAAGGATCCTAACGGATCGAGTCGAGTCTAAGTGGGTTATGACCGACCTTGAATTTTAATAATACTCCGAACCATGTGCCGAATCTAATTTTTGATATGATATGATCGAATTTTAACTTTAATTTTATCTTTGAGATGCTGCCTTATTTGTAATAAAACGAATACAGTATATCGCAATCTTGTAAAGTGATAATAATTTCTATATGAGATAAATAGAATATTCTATTCAACGGTCATTGGTGCTTTAATTAGAAAAAACCGATGCATTAGTTCATAATTAATGGAAAGAAAGGGAATGCATTGGTGCAGGTGAAGTTGTTTTTAATATAGTATACTATTGAGTTGCAAAATGAAATCTAAAATTTTGGTTTTGATATTTACCTATCTATATAATCCCCTTTTGCAAAAATTCATAGATAATTTATATTTTATCACATGTGTAACTATCAAAAAAAAAAAATTTTTTTTTATCTCGCATCGATCCACAAATATAGAGGATCGCCCAACACGTTTGACCTTAACATACATGACCTCCTATCGAAAAAGAAACGTGAACGACTTTGATAACGAATCAAATAATATACCCGATGACACTGTTTTCATCTCCAAAAGGCAAAAAATAAAATCATCTCTTCATCACCCATTAGGAATTAAGCCGTGGGGAAATTACTACGTTGATTTGCTCGATGCCGGTTCCCAAAACAGTTGCAGGGATACATGTTTGGGAATTCTCGCCCGCCTAAATGATGAATTAATACTGGAGGTTCTCGGTCAGTTGTCTGCCAAAGACCTTTTGTCGTTGAGCTCCACAAGCAAGATACTCTACTGTTTTGCAACATTTGATGAATTATGGAAACAAATGGTAATTCAAAAATATAACGGCGATTGGTGGTGGCAAGGAACTTGGAGACTCACATTCCTGAAACGATCAGATCCTGAATATAATGTTAATACGGGACACGCATTGTGTATGGATAATTTTTATAGCGACACCTTGTATCAACCCTTTCTCTACGGATCGATGAGAATAGAGCAATTCACGAGCGTGGAAAACATAGACAGATGTAAAAATTTAAGTTTAGATGATTTCATCAACAGGTATGCCAAGACTAATTTGCCTGTGATTATTACTGATGTCGTCACTAAATGGCCAGCGTTCGGAAAGTGGTCAATGGAGTATTTGGTGGAAAAGTACGGAGAAATCTTATTTCGTGCGGAAGCGATTGATATTAAATTGAAGAATTACGCCAGATATTCGGCGGATACAACGGAAGAAAGTCCATTGTACCTATTTGACAAGAATTTTGGGAACTATTGTGAGGGTATTCTCGAGGACTTTTCCGTTCCAGATTATTTCTCGGAGGACTTCTTCCGTGTACTTGGTAAGGATCGTCCTGATTATAGGTAATGCGCCAAAATTTTACCACCAATTTCATTACCATGATAATAATGATTCAAAAATCATCTATTTTACAAGATGGCTAATAATCGGCCCAGTTCGTTCAGGTTCTACTTTTCACAAAGATCCAAATTCAACATCCGCTTGGAACGCAGTGATTACTGGTTCCAAGAAATGGATAATGTACCCTCCCAATACTCTTCCACCGGGTGTTTTTGTAAGTCCCGGTATGATACCAATATTTATCGAATAAATCAATTTAGTTGATCCTCTTGCGTATTAAGTTAATAACCCGTCATTTGTTTTGTAGATGAAGCCGAGGTAACAGCACCGGTATCACTAATGGAGTGGTATCTGAATTATTACAAAGGGGCTCGAAAATCAGATCCAAGGCCATTGGAAGGAATTTGTCGTGCTGGCGAAATCATTTTCGTGCCAAATGGGTGGTGGCATATGGTGGTGAATTTGGAAGACTCTATTGCCATTGTACGAGTGGTCTTAATTCTTTTTCGAAAAAAAAAAAAGATCTGAGTGAGGCCGTCAACTAATATCTTCTTGGATAATTCACAGACGCAAAATTTTGTAGGCTCTTACAATTTGCCAAACGTATTACGATTTCTTCGCGACAAACCAGATCAAATCTCCGGCTTCTCCTCAAAAGCATGGCCGAACCGTGAAGACATTTATAACGTGTTTTGTGAAAAATTTCGAGAGTCCTATCCCAACGTTTTAGACGAGCTTGGACTCGTGAAGCCTGGCGGGCACGAATCTTCTATGTGGGATAAAATCAAGTGTGATGAAGGAAATGAGTTTATCTTTGGATTCTAGCGTATTATAGCTTGTTTTTTGAGTGATATGATTGGTTGGTTCCACTGTAGATTATCAGTCATATCATAAATTTTATCGCGATTGTTCGGCACGACAGTTTACTCTGATGTTTCCACATCGATTTCTCCCCATTTTAGCATTCAGAGTTAAATTCAGAAATTTCGGTGTGTCATTCGCATCAAAACTCATTTTCCCTAGCAAAAAATTTTCAAGAATGGCTTCCACTTTTAAAATTTCTTGTATTCAATTGGCCGTCTCTTCTGATAAGTCATTAAATCTTCAGAATGCAAAAAAGAGAATTTTAGAAGCATCAAAGAATGGAGCAAAACTTATTGTACTGCCGGTACCTTTCAAATAAAATGAAATTTTGTGACAATTCAATCTGCCATATGGAAATTCAAAATTTTATTCGAATCTCTCTTTTTCTTTTCTTTTTAAAAGGAATGTTTCAATTCAACTTACGGGACGCAATATTTCGATCAATTCGCCGAATATATTCCTAATGGGGAAAGTGTCAGGACTCTTTCGGCGGCAGCCAAGGTAGGGTCAGTGATACCGTTGATTGTACAGCTTCGTCTTGCAAATCATTAATCACTTTCTAATTGAAAAGGAGGCTAACGCCTACGTTGTTGGAGGTACCATAAATTTTCATTTGCCCGTGTTTTCTTGTCAAATGATTGATGAATCCGCCGATAAGTCACACGCACACTGCATCTTAGGGTCTATCCCGGAAAGAGAAGAATCTTCCGGAAAATTGTATAATACTTGCACCGTCTATGACCCGGAAGGTGAGTTCACGTTTTAAACGCAGTGAAGGAACGTTTATTCATGTCATTCATGTATTAGGAAATTTGATTGCAAAGCATCGCAAGGTTCATCTATTTGACATTGATATTCCTGGCAAGATTACTTTCCAAGAGAGTGCGATTCTGAGTCCTGGAAACTCCTTGACATACTTTGACACAGGTCATATATCAAACTCCCCATTTATGCGCATCATACTACCCGATTAATAGTAACCTTGATATGATTTTAATAGAGTATGGTAAGATTGGTGTGGGAATATGTTATGACATTCGATTTCCGGAGATGGCTATGATAGCCGCTCGAAAAGGTTAATAATAGAATTTTGATCATCGATGCCCACACATCGTCATTAGAATAATTAATTGCATTGTGTCACGCACCCTTTCCAGGATGTATCGCAATGATTTATCCCGGTGCCTTTAATCTCACCACCGGTCCGTTGCACTGGGAACGTAAGTTAAATTCCAAAGATTTTGCCTCATCATTCGCTTATCAGATCTCATTGAATTCTTCGATATAGTTTTGCAAAGAGCTCGGGCCGTGGATAATCAAGTAATGAAATGAGATCATCATTATACTGCATCATCTTAATTATCATTAACCTTACCATATCACACAAAGTTCTATGTGGCGACATGTTCTCCAGCTAGAGATATGAATTCATCTTATAATGCATGGGGTCATTCCACTGTTGTAGATCCAAAGTAGGTGATCTACATTCTATTTTCATTTTAAGATCTATTCCTCAATATTTTTAGTGGTCAGATTCTCGCGACGACAGAATCCGAGGAAGATACCATCTACGCAGACATAGGTATATCTTGTTGATCGATTTACGTGTATTGTTTTTGAGCCGTTCATCTAATAACACCACCTTTACCATTTCCGCAGATCTAGAATATCTGAGAACTATTCGCCAATCCATTCCTGTTAGTAGTCAAAGACGATTTGACCTATATCTTGATGTTGCAACCGGATCCGAAAAATAAGTCAATGATTGTCTTGGTATGCAAGCTTAAAGAAAAAGAATTCATTTACCCACCAAAGTTTCTGCATAATTAATTATCATATGTCTATCTTCCGGTTTCAAAGCCGCAAGTACGACCAGTTCGATGAAGAGCCCGGTTCGCAGAGTAATCTACGTAAAATGAGATAATCTGAATCCTTGGTTGAGTTAAAATTTTGAACTGTGATGGGGAATGCGCATCCATTTCAACATTCTATAATTGGTATGAGCACCATTTTACATGACTTTTTGATTTTAAAATATAATGATTAATTTTATTATATTTCAATATTTATATACTTTTTTTCTAAAAAAAAAAAAAAAAGAATCTTTTTGGCTTTCACAAATCTATTAATTTCAATCCTTTTTTATAATAAGAAATTACAATAAAGCAGAAAAAAAAAAAACAAAAACAAAAAAAAACTTGATAAAACATAAATTTTTACATCAGTTTAAATCTAGTGTGATCTATGATACAGCAAATATATAAATATAAATAAATATATATATATATACTTTTTTTTTTTTCTCAAGATTAGCAGAAATTTGGCACGAATTAATGCATAATGCATTAATAAAGAAAAGAGTTTCAACTATCCCACTTGTCAATATTTAAAAATTCATTTCCAATCTTTTCCAAAAATTCTTGAAGCGCAATCCTCACATCGGCCCTATCGATGCCAATAATCTTAATTGCCAGCCTATAAAAATCGGGTATTTGTTTTCTTAAGCCGACCAAACGAGTAGTCTTGGTATCATGAACCTCTCTGTCGTCATCATCGAATACATCTGCATCGCTGTCTCGTCTTCCATCATCCCATTTTGTCTTACACAATTCCCTAAAGACTGTGATCACCAAGGGTGACCAGTTATTCATCTCCCGCTGTTGTTGATTGGATATCGGTTCATGAGTTAGTCGAATGAATCTATCAAGTATTTTCGTGGATTCTTCAATTAGTGGTGGCAATAAATCTTGATCTCCGTCGCCAAACGTTCGATAAAGATCGTAGAGTATCGACAGAAAAACCGAGAGAGATAGTGTCTCTTGTTTTGTGAGATTTGGCAGTTGTTGAACGTAGCCAGCTTTCCATAAGGAATGACGAAGTTTATCATTTGCATTAAAATTGTGCGCAAATTTGTAAGAGTTATACAAACATCTCAACCATCGATTCCTATATTCGGCAGGCATCTGTGCAAGATAGTGGATCGGTTCTTTCGTCGACGACATTGAATTATCATTGAGCGCAAGATCTTGAACGGTCTGGATAGCAATGAGTTGTGCCGCACACTTAATAATCGCATGCGGAAAATCAATTTCAATTCTGCTAACATTTTGATCGGGTGCCAATGGATTCTCGGTTATAAACATATCCGTAGAATCTATGGACGTGATCTTTTTCAGCGGTATTCCAGCCCCAACCACGTTGCTTGTTATGCTCGATGGGTCACGATTGACATTATTCCCGTTTTCGACGGCGCCTGAAAAGTCGGCCTCAAATAGTTCGTTGGGTGTCGTCCATTTAAAAATGTCCTCCAATGTGGTCGTTACTATACCCCATGTGATGTTATCAAATCGTATACCATTTCTCGCAACCAAGTTATGAAAGCATCGAATCCCAGTTTGTCCCAATTTCTCATTTTTCCGTTTTAGAAGAGCCACCAGTAAATCCAAAAGTTCTACCAAAAATTCCGGCTGCGTGGAGAAAAGATCGTGGAATAGGGCATAAAGATCTACCAACAGTCGAATAGTCTGAATCCATATTTCAGATGTCGATTCGCGTCTCTTAATATCTGCGGCAGGCGATGACTGCCTTGACGTGGGCTCCTTGAGGTCCTCAAATATAGGGTGAATAGCATTTCGAAATATCTTGTTCCAATAATTAATTTCGAACAGATGACCAGTAGATTTCAAGATATCGAACAGTGCCTCCAATGCCTTATTTCGAACCGTCTGAGATTCCGAATCGATTACCAATCGGGAAAGACCGGAAACCACCGGAAACCATTTCAAGAAAAATTGTTCTTCCTCAATGCGATGCAGTTTCTTCTTTGACGAAGCGATTTGTTCTGACGTTTCCATTGTTTCTTTCTTATTGTCCAACTTGTTTATCGAGTTATCCACATCCTTCACCAAAACTTTAACACAACCTTGCAACATCATGATGGATTCGTTAATCAACTCCTCTTCCTTACCGTTAAACGCAAATTCCACCAGACAATTGACGAAATCAACGAACGCCGGTCCAATGAGATCCAGATGTTTTTGATACACCAATTTAGCAACGCCGAATGTGGTTTCCACCAATTGTGCATTCTCGTCGGAAGCGGCGCGTCCAAAAACCACAAAGATACTCTTCCATCCTGACTTGATGTTTCTAGCACGAGCAGAAATCATTTGAATGAACGATTGTATTATGAGGTCATGTATGTTCGGCGAGGGATTATTCTTGATGATCTGTTCGAAGGGCTTCATAAATTCGCTTTGGGTACTATAGTGCGATAACTCATCTCGCTCCAAAAATTTCATGCTCAACTGTCTGAGTGAGTCGATGGCAAAAGTGGCCACGATATTATCCGAGTGACAACCAACCGTTATGAAATGTGGCTGAAGAATTTTCCATATTTGCGTCCACTCAAAACGAATACGAGACATGTTGTAGTATGCTAGAATGCAAATACATTAAACTTTAATTTTTTCGCATACTTTTACTCTGTTAACGAATATAAACGAGTAAATCATTAGAGTATTACTTGCCAATTTCGACAATACGTCGTAGGCTATCCATCCTGGGCGAGGACCTCGAAGAGTTAACTTCCTCGAGAGAGACGGCACAAAGAGCGGTGAAGAAATGGACAATGGCGTCGCCACTTAGTTTAACGCTGTTCGTAAAAATCCTATCGATTGCTATTATCGTACTCTGAGATTGAAATTCTTTCATCACGCCGCTGAGAGAACTCCGACGAGTGGTGTTAACATTCTGACGAGATGGAGTGGAGGGTAGGTTGGATGATGAGGTAACAGTGCTCGTTATATTGTTACGGCTATTTTGCGGAGAATAATCTAATCCGCTGACACCCTCGGTGGAATAAACGACCGACCCCGTGGAACTGTCAAGTAATTGATAGCTCTCCATGGTTGACACTGTCTTTAAAACAATGTGCCATGACGATTGTAACCCCTCACCATAAGAATTGGCAACGGATAATAGGGTTCTTATGGCTGCGACATGTTTCGATCTCATTTCGTCCACATGGTTCAATCCAGTCAATTTTGCCAAGGAAGACACGAAAGCGTCACGTTCGACGTCCATTCGAAAGATGCTGCTTATGCGAATGGCACCTAGAAATCCGTCAAGGCATTGTTCAATCGATTCTTGATTTGCCTGAACAAATTCGACACTCTTGTTGACGCTATTGTTATTCGACAGGGGGTTATCCGCCTCCTCGAAAACTAGGCTAAGTGTGGCCATCAACGGCCAACACATCACCGCGAACATGGGCTTCACGTGGTCGGCGTGCGAAGCGCTTCGCCAGACAGCAGGGGTTTGTCCTTGTCGATTGCTTTTTAAGAGGGCTTGACTTTTTCTTTGCATCTGGGAGATTTCTCGCTCGTACAATTCTTGGCGTTCACGATCGTTGGCATGACTGATTGCGGTTTTCGCGACTTCTGAAAACTGTTCTTCCTCCATCACGATTTCATTATTTGCGACATCATCGAATATCTCTCCTAAAAACTCTTCAGAAAGGTCGTTGTTGCTATTTATACGCTGGTTACTTTTTATGAATTCGGATCTGTCCATACGCCTTTTGACTTGTGCGGAATGTTGGTCGGTATTCAAGATGATGGTCGAAAAGGCTAGAATGTAGGCGGTGTCGGCGTTCGCAAAAATTTCCTGATTCGTTTCACAATAACGATCGGCGAATTTCTCCATAATGCGATCAATCTTCTGAGACTCACCCGGGAGTCGGAATGATTGAAGAAAGGTTCTCAAAGCATCGACAAACCTCAATCCTGAAAAATCCATGCGATCGACAAATGCATGCATAATTTTAATAGCTTCAGGATCACCTTCACCCAAATATTCTCCTATGGCTGCTTTATTCAATCCGGATGTTGACACGAGAAATGTTATTACGCCATCAGTGTCTCCTTTCAAGAAACCGCGTTGTATCAGAAAGCTTAAGCCCTTTTGTGGTTTTGAGTTGAACAACTTGATTCCTTCACGAAAAGTTTGCTTACGTGACATGATCTCGTGATATTGCGCAGGGTTGTCCTCATTGTCTACTGTGCCGATACTACTGCCACTCGAATTAGGATGGAGTGTCGAAAAGTTGATACTCAGCAGAGGATTCTTGGAGAAAATTATTGGTGTCTTGTCTTCGATTATTTCTGGAGTTGGATTTCGTGGTAATTGTTGTGACTGGGAGTCGACACCATTTTTTCGTTCCAGATCTTTACACCACTCAATCAAAGACTTGACAACGGCCACAAGGCACTTTAAACCTTTCAATTTCAACATCTTTTCTTGCAGAAGTATGAATTCCAGTCCGGCGGAGCTCCCACCCATTATAAGGTTTCCTCTACCGGATTTGCCAGATGTCTTTGTGCGTAGTTGAGAAATTTTGGATAGCGAAGTCACAATCCGTTCGAATATGCTGACCATTGAAATGTCGCAGTCATAGTTCAGATAGATGTCCAAGAGAATCTGAGGCTTTTGACAGATTTTCATTAATCCCTGCAATACCAAACACTTTTGATGATAGGTGGCGTTGTTCATATCCAGAAAACGTAAATATATTTCGCTAAACATCTCCAATTCCGTTTTCAGAGACGCACGATAATAACGCAGCAACATGAGAAAATTCGAAAGAGACAGTTCAAATATCGGCTCGTTTGAGGAAACTACATTCTTGGATAACGATGCACAAAGAGCTTGCCGGATTAATTCGACATAAATTTCATCTGAATGAAAAACAGGTCCGGAATTATCTAGTATCGAGAGAATCAATTCTAAAACTAATGATCGACCGCGAAGACCGACTTCTTCATTCTGGGAACTGTCACCCTCTTCCGGACACATGGAGAGTCGACAGAATAGTCGAAAAGCCAAGTAAAGATCTTTTCGTAGGATGTTAAGGGTTTCGTGACCGGTGAGCGCCTTTTTTGGTGATGATTTACGTTTCTTACCAATTGGAGGTATTGCGATTGTGAGTTCCTTTATGTTCGCCAAAGACGATCTTCGACGCCTAATAGGCTTTTTTGATTTATCTTTTAATGATTCGCCGTTCGATGATACAGGGCGTTCGGTCGATTCGGGGCCACCATTTTCAAGATCATCGACTTTGGTTGCAACCCCATCATCGGCATGATTGACTTTTGTCGAGATTTCGTTATCGGCATGATCGACTTTTGTCGAGACTGCATTCTCGGTATGATCGACTTTGGCCGAAATTTCACTTTCATTATGGTCGACTTTGGTTGAGACTTCATTCTCGGCATGATCGAATTGGGTTTCGACTCCATTTTCGTTATCATCTTTCTCAGAGGTCTCTACTCCGTCAGTTATAATTCCGTTCACATTAAAATCGTTGACACAATTTTCTTCTAGAGTCGAAACTTGATTTTCGGAAAACTCGCGCATTATGATTTCAGATGTAGCAGATATGTCTCCTATTACCTCATCGGTTTTGGGCGTGGTACCTTGATCAATGGTTTCACATAAATGAACATTGGTGATAGTATCCAATTCAGGAGTCACATTCCCGGCAATATCACTTTCAGAGACAACCTCCACCTCATCATCGCATCTTACAATACTAGAAACTTGCGGATCAATCATTGCCTCGGTTATCTCACCGTTTCCATCTTTTTCAACATTTTTCGATGCATTCTTGTCGCTATCGCTTGAATTCTGAATGTTTTTAGTAACCGGTGAGGTGTCAACCTCGTCTGCATCCCGAATTTCGTCCGAAGCAACAACACCTTTCACAGATATCGTTGAGGGTTGACTTTCAGACAGTTGCAAATCGAGCGATTGGCGTGCGTTATTTTCATCTGAATCCTGAAACTTATCATTAGAGGCATCTCCGTTATCAACTGAACTTGGTGAATGTGAGTCAACTCCATTAACGCCATTGATTCCATTAAATTTCACTGTTGCCTTGTCATCATCTTCCATGGCACCATTGCCATCTTCTCGGGTCGTCAGTTGAATGCTTGTTCTTCCTTTCGCGAGTGTTGAATCTTTACCAGTGATGTGTTGTTTCTTTGATGCTTCGCCTTTTGACAATTCCGAAGAAAATTCTTCAAATCGAGCCACAATGAAGTTTGAAATCTGAGTCAACTCGGCTTTCGCCGTTGCCTGATTCACTTGACTTTTTGAGAAACAATAAATATTACAACAAGTCTGAATGATCTTGAGTAAACTGACCCCATGAACTGGACATTGCTCTGTGGTGACGAGTGTGAGTAACACTTTTAAAATTTGAAGCTGAACGGTCTGATCCGTTTGTGGTCCAATAAATCCAGTGCACACCGTATGTACGACATCATCTATTAACAGAACTGGCTTTGGAAAGTTTGGTGGAGAATTTGTTGGTGAGGTCCCATCAGATGACTCGACGCTATCGAAAGGAGTTGACGTCGTATCAACAAAAGACAAGTCGTTCGTTTCGCTAAACCCGTTATTAATGTGTTTCGTTTTTGATTCACGTTTCTTTACCTGTCCACTTTTCGGCAACGATATAGGGTTGTCGCCTACAAGAAATCCGTGAGCGATGATTTTTTGCAAGCAATCGAGAGCTATCACTCGAATATTGACCGGCATCGCATTGCCACATGCGAGTCTAAAAGGCTGCCAGTAATTATCGGCCAAAACTTTCGGCAATTCTTCTCCTGCACGCGCGAACAAGCTACTGGATATGGAAGTACGACCAGCCCCGGCCGAATTGGCGTTTGCTTCGGAATTTTTTTTTGGCGAACTCTTTGGCGAGTTCTTTGGGGTTGTCTTTGGTGTTGTTGATTTGCTTGTCTTTCCACTCTTCTCGGCTTTCTCTGCTATCGCTCCACTTGCCTCCCCTGTTGTACCATCTTTAGTTATTATTTTAACGTCTACATCGTTTGCTTCATTTTTTGGAGTCTCGTTAACGGTATCCTCCAAGTTTGCTTTTTGCTTACCCCTCTTTATGGCCGCTCTCTTCAGGAGATAATTTATTTCTTGTTGAAGTTGTTCTAAAGTAGTAGAACAAACCTGTTCTAGTTCTTTTTGTTTCGATGATTGTGCCTCAGCTAGAAGCCTTTCCAGCGCACCCTTCAGGATGCTCATTGGTATAGTCTCACTGGGTCGTCAAGAGTAACAACAGAACCAAGGTAGAAACTATCTGATCATTTCCTGGCCAACACACTTTCAAGATTATTTACGAAATAAGTAAAGGTATTGAAAAAATCATCCAAGCCACAAGGAAACGCTGAGCCTGAAGCTTAGCGGCGACCTTGTTGAGGCAGTGTCGTATTTATTATAACTGGAAAAATCAGGCGTTTCCACCGAGTAGAAAAAAAAATTTATGATATTTGACAAGTCTCACGTGCAAGCTTAATTAATTCCTGTAAATTTGGTACTCCCATATATATAGATATGTAAAAAAACAAATATATATATATATATATGCTGCGGGTGGTCGTACCTCGAAATTTCACCAATGAGAAAAATGAAAAAAAAAATTCGAAAAAAAAAACTTGCTCGTAGGTAAAATGAAATACCTTATTACGCAAATTGATCTTTTTTTTCTTTTCATTAGCATTCTATGTACACAAGTAGAAATATAAAAAAAAAAAAAAAGAGAAAGTTTAAGGGAGCGTGATGAAGCATTCGGTGAAATTATCGTCACATACAATAAAAAAGTGGAATGGATAAATGAAATGAAAGTCGACTAAAAAAAAAAAAAAAAAAAAAACTTGTAAGAGGAAATGTTCATTTTTGTGTGATGTAGTTTGTGGAAGAATTACTATAAATACATAATTAAAAAAGTAAAAGAAAAAGTGGAACAAAATAAATGATTCGCTTTTTGCATAAATTAAACCATTATATTTATCAATTACAACGTATAGTTATACTGATTGAGGAACCCCAACGGCAGGTGGACTGTTGAGACCGATGTGAATGCTAGATAAAAAAAATTTTTTTAGCCGAAGTGTTCTTTAATACCTGCACCTGAACCAAACCAAATACCAATGTGAATTATCCGCACCTTGGTCGCCTCTTTTGTTTTCCCTGTTGTTTCACTTCAGGTTTGAGCAATTCAAAGCTGCATAAAAGTTCCTCGTTTACACTCATCACGGCTCCGAAATTGTCAAATTCACCGCAATAATTCGGCGCGGAAAACACGGTCACCAGAGTCCTCTCGTTGAAAAATTCGTAACCATCCTCTACGACCATATGCGCGCGGCACACCAGATCGAAATCATATCGTTGCAAAAATTCATGGATAATAGCTTTCCCGAAACAATAGCTAACACCTCTTTCATTGTCCTCCCAATCAACCGCCGTATCCGAGGGATCGGACCACAAGAGGTCATTCAGAAGTCCATAGTCGGGCACATCGGTGGGACGATGAATTCCTCGAATTTCGTCCATAGAAGAAAGACTGGGGGATAGTCCGCCATGTACGCAAAATATTTTGTTGGCCACGATCGCGGCGATGGGGATACAGTTGAAAACGTCGACAAACGTCTTCCACATCTTGACGCTCGATCGTCTCTTGCACTCATCATAGAATCCATACACTTGATATTAAAAAAAAAAAAAAAAGAGGAGGAGGAGGAAGAAGAAAACACGGTGATTAATAAAAATGAATTGAATACAACAATCGATGCAATCATCCATTAACCGACGTCCGCAGAAATTCCCGGCTCAGGACTCTATACACTTCAATAATAAAACGATGTCCCAACTGCTCGGACTAGCCGAAGTCGGTGGTTATTTTCCGTCTTACGGAAAGTGAACGAATTACAGTATCATCAATCAATTTACCTCTGGTAACATTCGCGCATTCATGATTTCCCCTTAATAAAAAAAAATTCTCGGGATATTTAATTTTGTAGCAGAGTAATAAAAGGATAGTTTCCAGGCTTTGTTTGCCACGATCAACGTAGTCACCCAGAAATAAATAATTTGCCGTGGGTGGGAATCCGCACATGTCAAATAGTCGAATGAGGTCGGTATATTGGCCATGCACGTCACCTACGATCTTAACAGGTGGCGACAACTCGATAAGTGTTGGTTGTGATAAAAATACCTCCCGTGCAGCTTGACAGATAGCACTCATTTCAGCATTTTTCAGGCAGACTGATTTCGAAACTTTACTGGAATAACCCACAACAATAAGGCGCTGTATCATATCATCAATGTCAAAGGTTTTTGTACGATCATTAGTGGGTATATTAACTGTGTTGTTTCCGTGAAAAGTGGGGCCGTTAGGACTCAAGCCTTCCGCACCATTACTACTAGAGTCGGTAGCTCCGCTTGGTCGCCGGAGAATCGATTCCATTGGGGAGGTGGGTGAAGAGGGAGAAGTCGGTGAACTATCCTCGGAATTCAATGTATTATTGTTTGTGAGATTGTTTTTATCTGTGTCAACGGTCAAAGAATCACCAGGCGACGAATTCGCTTGACTCGCACTAGAACCTTGCCCATTCTCTTTTTTGTCTTTCCATTTTTCCTGATCAGAAATGTCAACGCCCCTATAGGGCAGACCCGATAGTCGCTTTTTGGAAGTCGAGTTACCCATTTTCCTTTTGCCTTTCTTTCTTTCCTTCCTTCCTTCTTTCTTTCTTTCTTTCTTTCTTTCTTTTTTTTTTTTTTCAACTGTGCTTTCGAATTAAAATAATGGTAAATAATTGTTTTATCGCTAGAATGTAACTTTATACCTCTCCGGCTCAATAAACTTTGGGTAGGAACTAAGGTAGATTGTCAGTGCCGTAAACCTGTGCGGAAACGCACAGAGACTAATATGTAAACGATTGTGTACTAGATTCACCCAAAAATTGACACACACAACGGGTGCTTATTTTCGAATCATTGTATAATTGAAAACGCGTCAAAAAAAAGAATTTAATTTGGGTATTTCGGCCTTAAAAAAATAAGTATAATAATAACCTTATTAATAAGCAATTTAAAAATTTTTTTTCTTCCACTAAACCAATCAATATAAAAATAGTAATATTTAATTATATTCTCTTTTATGTGCCTGTATAATAGAGTTATTTGCAAGTTAAAGATTTACCTTGATAATTAATCAAAGATCTTGACAACTGCATGAATTCATGGAAAAATTAGCTACTTGAAGTAATATAAGAATTTCTTTGGAATTAAAATTTTTAATTGATATGCGTAACATACAGTGCACATTAGCAACTAAAATAAATAATATGAATTAAAAATTATATCATTTTCTTTAAGTCTAATTAGTGGTCTTACCTAGGAGACTTTCACTTTTTCTAGGAACAATGCGTATATGCATTCTTTTTCAAATGCTTATTTTATTTATTACTTAAAAATGATGGATAATTTTCAATTATGATGTGCACACAGTGTTTAAGCATAAAGTACCGTGATTGGTTGCAAAAAAGCATTGATAAGCTGTTCTCATTTAAAATTAATTAGATTAGGCACGAGGTCGGGGTTTTCGAAAAAACCAAACCTCTAAAAAAAAAAAACATCGCACACCTCGACAGCGGGAAGCACGTTGAATTGGTTAGATGCATTTAGTAAATTATTCCTATTTTATTTATGATACAGTTTTAATGGAAAATCTATCGATTTCGAATTTTATATGTGGACTTTAAATCAAAGATCGTTCTTCAATCTCACAACCAGAAGAAAATTAATTAATTTCACATCACACTCCAGTGTATACTGTATATATATCGTAGTTTCACCGGGTTTCTCCCGGACACTTTACGCCACAATTATTACTATTATTCTGAGAAGGTCAGGTCATGTTCGTCTTTTAATAGCAGGGGTATCATTGTCCAGTCTATATTTCCTTAAATCTTTCGTGAGGTCAGGCATGGGAGATCCCCATCCAGGCAGGCGCACCACCTGACATATAATAAGATATTGTCAATATTACGATCTTCGAAGGTTACAACATTTTGAAGCCAAAATATCAATACCATGGCGGTTATGTTATCCTCTGATCCGAGCTCGTCTGCGAGGTCCACAAGCTTTGACGCAGCCAATGTGGGATCATCATGATTTTTTATCTAAAGAAAAAAGTAGAACCTAAGAAAATGGTGAGGCCGAACGTGACAACTGCGGAATAAAAACTTACACAATCCACTATTTCTTGATTGCTCAATACCGATGTCACTCCGTCAGACACCAAAACCATAAAAGCTACATCTTTTCCTTTTACTGTGTTGCTCACAATCTCGGGCTCAGCTGATACTCCATATCTCTTCATTTTCGAATTTCCCATTGCTCGAGAATTTGCTAATCTCCCTAAAAACATTTCCGATCCAAAGGAGTCGGTGATAATATATCCACCCGATTTCCTTAATCGATCGTGTTCTGTGATGGCACCTGGATGATGATCAAAGGTCAAAGAGATGGCGTCCCCTGAAGGTACATCGCATAATAATGCACGAGTGTCTCCAACATGAGCAACTGTGATTTCCAACTCCTGACTAGACCAGAATGAATGACCGTCCAAAGTCTTGATGAGAACAGCCGTTGCCGTAGATCCGACGGAATGTGGAATGGAATCTATAAGTTCCAAGTCGGTTTTCAAAAATGCTATGGTGAGCCTCTGATCTAACGTAAGTTCGGTTGCTGATGATGATGACATCAACGAATTTTGAGTCGTGGACGAATAATTTCTAGAGGTTTTATGTTCATTAGAACCGGAATTACCACCAGTGTCTAGTGTACGTTTCTTAGTATTTGGTTGCATAGTTTCGGGACTCAGTAATGGTGCTAATATTGTTGGACGAAATCTCCGAAAGTATCTATTTTATCAATGTCATTATTTTTAGTGATTTAATTATTCGAAATAAGCATTCAAAAGAAAACATCAATTACCCTCCAACGTTTCTCCATCGCAATATAACATCATCAGCATCTGAAACTCGCACATCTTCAATCTGTTTATGGAGATTGGCGGTTAAATAGTCGGCACATTGGGCCCCTCCGTGACTAATCAATTAATCGATCAACACCCAAAAAGCCAATGAACATAAGATTGATTGCATTCAATAAGAAAGGCCGGAAGCACAATAAAACGTACCCATCAAATATAGCAAAATAACAAATTTGACCTTCTTTGCCTTCTTTGTGTGACTCTACTCCATTTTCGGAGGTTTTCCGTTCCTTTTCGCCACCTTCTTTGACATCAAACTCTAGTACCGAAGCTTGACATCTGTCTTCGTTCGTCTCCCTTATTCCTCGCGTTGTTCTAGTTTATAAAGTGTCTTCGATAAGAAAACTTTTCTAAATCCGTATAAATAAATTTAAAACTATTCCCTTCAACCTGATGCCGACCAAATGCCCAGATTTTGCAAGACGTAATCTATAATTTTCACCTTTAGGAGACCTCGCGAGATAATAGTCTTGCGACTCCTTTGCTGTGGTTAGAGTGATAGATCGAGTGCTGAATTGAAATAAATTGAAAGGCCGGTGGCTGAAAGTGTATGGGAGCGTGAAATTTCGTGCGAATGCACGATGAAAACCAGTCATACCGTGATTCTCATTTGCATTTAGAGATGGTAACTACATTTACCAAACCAATGTGTCACGTGTAACTCATTTTAGAATCAATGATATCTAAAATATTAATAAGAGAAAAAAAAATTATTTTTTTCGAGTTTTAAAAACTACTTTGCATATTATTAAATTAGTAATTCCTTTGAATAACCAGTCTACGTAGCAGTTACAGTAATAAGATTTATGTATTGATCTTTATTAATAATTATTTTTTTTTAAACCATAGTCAGATCAGTATGGCTTGTCTTTATTGTATATATAAAGATATTTATAAGATGGTTTTGACTTTCACATACTAAATCACCCATCATCAAAAAACTATTTCTCTAGATGCAACTTAGGAAATAATATTTTGCTCCTTTACTAACTTGGATAAATCCTTTAGTCAATAAAATTATTATCTATAGATTATTATTGTAAATCATTCTTTTCTTTTTTTTTTTAATTATAACCTTCTGTCAGGCTAGTTATGTGTACTTTATTAAACAATTGTAAGCTGTACATTATACATGTGACACTAAAGCTAATTTTCTAACTAACTCACTCGTCAAAGTCTTATATTTATCTAAGACTCTAAGTGCAACTTCGGGAATGATTTATCGTTCCGCTAGTAATTCAGGTAAAAACCCTTCCAACTTCTAACATCATTGCCCGCAGGTCACTACTGCGTATCACTGTATGATGTTCTGAC